CCAACTTTTACGTCCAACTTTCCTTCAGTTACCTCTAGATTTCCTTCCAGACTTCCCTCTAGACATCCATCTAGGCTTCCCTTCAGACTTTTCTCAAGACTTCCCTCTAGACTTAGCTCTATAACTCAATCTGAAATTCCTACTACCTATTTTATTGAAACTCTCACTCAAATTTATAATTAGCATATCCTTTCTTTCTCTCTACATACCATCTCTGCCCCGTTCTCTTGTAGCTCCCAAGTAGTTCACAAAAATTGTCATTCTTTGGGGTCTACGCCAGCTAGTTGCCTAGCTATATATACATATATGTACATGCATACATAGATATTTCCCTCCCTCACGCAGACAGCGGAAACTATTTGTAATCTTGGGGCAATTTGGACACCTGTTTCAATATTGCTGCAGCCAGCGAAGAAATCTTGACACTTTGTGCGCTGATCCTTGGCGGCAGCCTGACAAGGGGAAAGTTTTTTGCATTGTCTTGTAGGAAAATGTACGCGTATGTGTGTATTAGTGTATGCAACATCCGGTTGCAGGCGCAGGTAGGACGGCTGCCCTTTTGACACTGACAAGGATGAGGATGAATGCCAGGCTCTGGCTCCATCTCCTGCCGCTCCTGCTGCTGCTGCTGCCTCTGCTGTGATAACCTTGCCGCGGTGGTGCTTTATCAAATTCTGGTCACCTTGGACGGCATTTACAAAATGTGTATCCACTAACACACACAGACACACACTCACACACACATTTCCTAAAGGGCATATACGGTACCGCTTTGGATTAAAAATTTCTTGCGTTTGCTTTTTTTTTTTTAAATGTTGAATGCATTTCTCTGACGACTGCTTAAGGCGAGAGAGAGCGAGATAGGAAGAGAGAGGGCGAGCGGCAGAGTGAGCGAGAAGGGCGCAAGGTAAAGGGAGCTGTGCAAAGGGAAGGGGGCACGGCAACGGGGCACAAGGGACAGGAGGCATTTATTTTCGGCATTTGAAGTTGGTCCTTTGAAAAACGGGGGTTCAAATTCAAAGCGCTAGACCGAACCAGCGAACGTGCGAAGGGTTGTTCGCTGTGCGTGCGTGTGTATGCCTCTCTCCGTGTGTGTGTGTGTGTGTAAGGAACACATTTGGATGCCAGACTGAGTCTCAGTTGCGACGCCCTGTGTGACATTATGCGATGGCAGCAGCAGCAGCAGCAACAACAACAACAACAGCAACAGCAACGCCAAGTGTTAGCAGCGAATCGATTTTGAAATTCGTCTCATGCGAATGTGTGGAAAATGCTGATAAATGAAAGGCACACACAGACTCTGAGAGACGTTGGCGACCAGCAGCAAGGACTAGAGCTAGAAGCCAGTTAACCATTGCCATGGCTAATGAGAAACTGCAACTGCAACAGTGAATATCTCCCTGTCTCTCTCTCTCTCTCTCGCACACTTTTTTGCTGACTGATAAGGCTCGCTCGACTTTTCATCTATTTGCTGCGTTGTTTTGTTTACCCACTTTGACGCTTCTGATAAGATAAGCAAAAGTCGCTTTTACCTACACACACACACACTCAAACACAATCAAACACACACACACACACACATGCAGGGCATTGCCCATGGCCAGCTCGACTTCTTTGAGCGAGTTTTCAGTTGAAAATTCAAAATTCATAGAATGCAAATGTTGGTTAAACAACATTTTCGCCAGGCGCACACGACGACCAAACCCTCGTCGTAGCCAAAAAAGACCACACAGAGACGCCAGAGCAGAGCAGAGCAGAGCAGCGCCAAAGCACAGGTCGCACAGTTGGGCCACAGCTATAACAACAACAACAACAACAACAGCAACATCTACAACAACAACCCGAGGCAACTCTCGGAGAGCCGCTCTACGTACGTGTTTGCTTAGCAAGGGGCAGCGTAGAGCAAGGGGCAGCGGAGAGTGTGGGGGGGGGGCTCTGGTGCAGGCAAAGGCAGAGCTAGAGGTTTTCCATGGCTCAGCGTCGAGTCGAGTTGTTGTTGTTGTTGTTGTTGCCGCCGCCATCGCCTGTGACTTGAATTTGTAACTGAAACTAGATCTAAACAACAAAAAATTGTAAATAGCCCCCCCAGACTTGGAGTTCGACTTCGACTTCGACTTTGTCTTAAAATGTGCCTAGCTTAACAATCCATAGACATCGACTTAGACTATAGACCGAGTGCATATATTATTCAATGGAGTTGCCATGGCTAGACAAAATAATATGGAAAACTATAGAGCTAATGATAGAGTTGATAGTTTGTGATCATCTAGATCGCTCTCAGATGGCTTTTGTCATATTTAAAATAATATATAACAAGAAATATATATTAACAAACAAATCTTTCATTATACATCTCTAGAAATCCCAACAAATCACATACTCTTCACACTTTATCCTTTTCTTCTGAGCTGCTTTGGCAAAACATAGCTCAAAAGCTTCAAAGCTTGACTCGGACAAAGCTTTTCTGCGAGGAGGCAGCAGGAAGCTGATTAAAGCTTAAAGTAAATGCCAAAATGTGGCCAGGGCCTTGCCTGCAATTGATTGCACAGCATTAACGGTACATTTCCAATTGGATGGCTGCTGTATATGCACATATAGAGAGTTGTGTGACTGTGTGTACTTACACGTATACATAATCAAGTGAAGTATATACACACATACACGGACACACTCGCACACACACACACATAGAGAGCGAGAGAGATGCGTGGGCATGCATACGCATATTTAATGCAAATTTAAGCAGTTAGCAAGCAAGTAAAACCGTTATGCACATACATATATATACATATATGTATATAGAGAGAGCCATGTGCGTGTGCTGCTGCTGCGTATACATAATGCAGGGCAATATAAATAATTGCAATACATATAAATTGCAGCTACGTGTGTGTGTGTGTGTGTGTATGCATTGCATAACCACATTTGCCGTTTACATATGCTATATAAGCATAGCTTTATATATTAATACATATACACATATATATATATATATTTATATGTATATATTAATACACACATTTAAATGTGCATCGGTGGCTGCTGCATTTGCAATTGCAATTGCATTAGTGTGGCATCCTTTTGTTCATTACACGCACAATGCGTGCATAAAATAAATCTACAGCAAAATACTCGAATGCGTTCGCATTTGTTAAATGAGACAAGCAGCAGCAGCAGCAGCAGCAGCAGTGACAGCGGCATCGGCAGCGGCAGCAAAAGGAGATGGAGGAAAGGCGTAAAGCAGACAAAGAGCGAGAGAGCGGAAGAGAGGGATTGGATGGCAGATATAGAAGCCAAAATTTTGACAGCAAATGCAGATCTATGCAGCTAATTGTTGTTGCACAGTGTGAAAGCTCAACTTAAGCTGTACATGTTACATACATACATACATATACACATGTGTGTGCTTACACAAGCGTTCATTGCCTGAATATAGGTACATATGTATGTGTAAATAAGAGAAGAAAGAGGTATATTATACAGATGTAGTATACTGTTTTACATTAATAAAACTATATAAACATATCAAAATAAAAAAAAAAATAAAAAAAATACGATATAATTATAAATATACATATATGCATATATTAATAAATATTATTTTTAATAATATATATACATACGTTTAATAAATATGTATATTTATTTAAATGTAAATGCGTAGATCTGTTGTTTATATGTATATCCCTTTACATATAAAATTATTTTGTTGTAATACACTACAAAAAAACGTATTTGATAAGTATTTGTTTTTTTATCATTTATGTTAATTATAGATTATAGTATATTAACATTAAAACGACAAAATAAGTTTATATTAATATGTTTCCATTTAACTATAGGTTTACCAACCAACCAATCCCATAGATAGCATCTATATACCACCCAACACCATTTTCCCATTGCAATAACTTAAACAACTTTTTTATTTATTTTGTAATTTTTACATATTGAATTTTATTTCAGTTTCTTTAAGTGTATACGTGTGTATGTGTCTCTGTGTATGGTTGTGTTTGTGTTTATTAGCCTGGATTTACAACAAAATCAAAAAAATAATGTTGAATCAAATGATTGTTTAGAAAAAACTTAATGCTAAATAATTGTCAGTGAAAGACTTCAACATAGTTCTATTAGAATTATAATAATAATAATAATGACAATGACAATGACAATGATAATGATAATTATAATGATAATGTTTCCTGTTCCGTCAAATAAGGCATTTACATTTACATAAATATTGCAGAAATCGAAAAACAGATTCAACAAAACTGACAGATCGGAGCTTTAGCTAAGACTTAAAACATATAGCTACTATATAACATAGTTTATTTCTTCTCTTTATCTTCTCCTCAATTTGTCTTTGCTTTAGTTCAAAAATAAAATTACGTAATTCTTGTATTTTAGCATTTTGTTTTTTTTTTCCATTTCGATTTTTTTTTTTTATACATACATATATATTTTATATATCACAATAGAAAAAAGAATTAATTCACATATTCTTTTCAATCGTTATAGTTTTTTTTTTCTTTTTCTTTTTTTTGCTTACTTATAAATTAAACAATAAAAATGTACAGAATTTTCTTTAACGTTTCTTTTGTTGTTATTTTCATTTTTTTTTTTTTTTTGCTAGTTGCTTTGTGGAGTTATTTGACTAATTGTTGTTATTGTTTGACCAAGTTACGAACTAAAACTAAATGTAAATTTATTAAATTTGCTTTAAGTGTCTACTATTAACATGTTTTAAATTTAATCGCCAACTAAATTAAACGGCATTACTAACGACGCTGCACTAAACAAATTCGAAACAAAACGCAAAAAGCAAAACAAACACACAAAAAATATATAAACTAAAGTTTAACACAAAGAATCTCAAATGAAATAAAAATAGTACAAAAACAAAAAAAAAATACATTTCTAACAAAAGGCAGAGACAGAGAGCGCCAACAAAGAGCAAACTTTTTTGTGTAGTCGTCGTCGTTGTTGTTGTTGTTGCTGCTATTGCGGGCAAGCTTAAAGCGCTGCGCGCGTCGCTGCTGGCGTCGCAGCTGACGCCATTGCTGCGTCTGTAGTTGTTGTAGCGTTGGAGGACGCTTGCTTTTGTTGTTTCTGCTTCTACAATTTTTTTTCGCCGTTGTTTCTGTTGTTGCCGAAGCGTGAATTAAAATAAACTATTTAAATTTATTTGCATCTGTTTAACTGCGGCCTGCATTATACACAAGCACACACACACACACGCACGCACATTTATGCATATGCATACGTGTATGTGTGCGTGTGTTTGTCCGCTCTCTTTCTCTCTCTCTCTCTCTCTCTCTCTTACACTCTTGCGCTATGCTTATCGCGCGTCTCCATCGCCATGCACTTTGTTGCTGCCGTCGGCCATAGCTGCAGCCGTGTTATTTTTTTCTCTTGTTTCTTTTTATCGCCGCCGCTGCGCTGCGTGCGTGTAAGCTGACGCGTCGCGCCCCCTTCCCAACCCTGCTAACCTCTACCAGGCCCACAAGTGCGCCGCTGCCAGCCCCTTAGGAACCTGCGGCGGCAGCAGCAGCAGCAGCAGCAACATAGCGAGCTTCAGCTCCGCCGTTGCCGTAGTTGTGCTTGTGTATGCATGTACGTATGTGTGTATGTACGTCTGTCAGTATGTATGTACGTGTGTTTGTTCATTGTTTGCTTTTTGTTGTTGGCGTTTGTTGTTTTCTGCCTCTCGCTCGTTCGCTTGACTTGCCTGCGCTCTGTCTCTGCTGTTGCTTTTGCTGTTTCGTTTTCTACTCGATTCGTACGAAAAAATTTAGTACAGCGTGTGGTATGGCAAACGAAAGCTATGAGTTTTCAGTGTATCTTGTTGTTGTTGTTTTTTATACTTTACTTTACTTAGTTGTCTGCTCCGCTCTCTGTGTGTGTGCGTGTGTGTGTTTCTGTGTGTGCTGGTGTGTGTAATTACGTGCCTTGCCTTCAACGTCAGACATGCAACACGGCACGCAGGTAGAAGGAGACGAGTAGGAAGACAAAGTCAAAAAGACTCCTCAGCTAAAGTCACACGCACACAAACACACACAGACACCACACTCAGAGAGAGTGAGAGAGACATAGACATAGATGTCTGCATCCTAAGCGTTCGCCTGCGCCGACTTCTCTGCCTCGGCCGCTGCGCAGGCATTGCAATCATGATGAACGCATCATCTGACCAGCCACAGGCCCAGATTGAGCTTCTGCAGCTTGGGCAGCTTCATGATGATGTCGATGCCCTTCGAGCTCAACTGCGTGCAGCCATAGAGATCGATCGTCTTCAGATTGGACAAATCCTCCGCCAGTGTTTGCAATCCCTTATCCGTTATCCGGCTGCATTGTCCGATATTGAGATTCTCCAGTTCATGAAGCGACTTCGCTATCTTCAGCATGCCCTGATCCGTAATCTGGCATTGATTCAAACTGAGCGAACGCAGCCTATACAGGCCCTGCGCAATGTGGGTGAGTGCCTGGTCGCTGATCTTGTCGCAGAAGCTCACGTCCAGGGAATTGATTCCACTGCCACCCTCCGTCAGATAGGCCATGCCAATGTCGGAGATGTTGTCGCAGGAGCGCAGATTCAGCTGTTCCAGCTTGGGCATGCGAGCCAGATGCTTCAATCCGCTGTCCGTCACCGAAACGCAGAAGCTCAGATTGATGGACTTTAGTGAGGTTAGACCCTGTGCTATGTGACCCAGTGCCTCATCGCTCAGACGCTGGCAGTCCTGCAGGCCCAGATATTCCAGCTGCAGATTTCCTTCGGCCGTCTCCCGACTGAACCCGGCCAGATGGCCGATGCCCTGATCGCTGATGTGCCAGCAGGATCTCAGATTCAAGTGGCGCAGCTTCTTCAGACCCCACGCGATCAGCAGCAGTCCGGTGTTCGTGATGTTGCAACAGCCGCCCAGCTCGAGCGTCTCCAGATTCTTCAGATGCTGTGCAATCCGGCCCAGGCTCGTGTCCGTGATCTGTTTGCAGAGCGAGAGATCCAGGGTCTTCAGATTCGGCAAATCGACGCTGAACGCATGACCCAGATTCATGTCGGCCACATTGAAGCAGCCGCTGAGATTCAGCGATGTCAGCGCCGGCACGCCCACGACCAGATCCTTGAGCGATCGGCGCAGCGATAGGATTTGAACCTTCTTGATGCCCCGTCGGACGAGGCAATTGAAGAGACTGGGACTGGAGCGCTTCAGATGTAGTTTCGCCTCGACGCCCTTCCACACGCTCTTCGCATAGGCTGCATCTCGCCAGGCGGTGCACACCTGTGCGGCCCGCCCCAAATCTCGCACCGGCAGATGCTCAAAGATCTGCTCCAGTAGCTCTGGAAATAGGTTGCTAATGTGTGTGCCCTCCACGGGCGGCGGACTCTCCGGCGAGGCGGCTCTGTGCTGGTGATGAAGATGATGATGATGGTGATGATGATGCTGGGCGTGTGCTGCTGCAGCGGCTGCGGCTGCTGCTGCCGCCGCGGCAGCCGCATGTTGCAAGTAGAGCGCAGGTGGCAATGTTTGCAGCTGGGGCCGATGGTGCAGTGCATAGGGCGTAAAGCGCAGCAGGTGGTGGGCGTTGCGTGTCAAGCCGGGCAGCTCAGTCTGTTGATACAGTTCGTCTCGGTTCCAGGCAGCCGCAGCTGCAGCAGCCGCCGAGCCACCAGCTGTAGCTCCACCACCTCCTCCACCGCCGCCGCCACCTCCGCCTCCTCCGGCGCCACCACCATGATAGTTAGTGAGGGCGGCGGCTGTCTGTAGCGAGATTGTTGTCTGATGATGGAAGGGCAGCAGCTCTGTATTGGTAGCCATTGCTGTATGTGTGTGTGTGTGGGTGTGTGAGTGTCTGAGTGTTCTTAGACTTCAGATACTGCTATAACTTTACTCTAGATACTTGGATATGCGTCGCATTTGCGACAGTTTCTTTAAATAGGGGGATACACTTGTGTAGTTGTTGTTGTTGTAGTGGGTGGACTAGATGAGCACTGCACAAATACGATTACGAATTCCGTTAGCACTTTAAGTCCAGTTAAATTTGCTTTTTATCTGTATTATATTCTTCACTCTGGAACGAACGAGCGTTAAACGAGCTTCAAGTGAACACCAAAAACCGGAACACGACAATTGAGTTGCGCAGCGACGTCCGAACGGTTCGATGGTGAGTAACAGAATGAGCCAAAGTGCGACAAAGCGACACAATAAATGAGAGAGGCAGCGGCAGCACACACATGTACACACCAACACGCACGCACACACATGCACGCAGCCATAGCAGGCAAGCGCTCTGAATTCAGCAATAAGGCAAAGCAGGTAGCGGCAAATGCTCTTTCGCTCTCTCACTCTCACACTATGTGACGCGCTATGAGTGCTGTGCATTGACTGTCTTCTGGCTAGATTTTAAGCTAATGTGATTTACTAGATTTTATTTATTTATTTTAAATATATTTATTTATAGCAGTCGAATTCGTTTTATTTTTCTGATCAAGCTAAAGTGTAAACAGTCTGATATTTTATATTTATTTATTAAATAATCTACTTTGCTACTAGCCAAACAAGAGTTGAACTTTTAGCTTGATTCGTAAACACTCTCAGCAAAGACAGCTCGCACTCCCACTACATGCATATGTATATAGTATATATGTATGTATATATATGTACATATAAATATTTTTATATACTAATTTATGTTTTCAATTAAATTTAAATACTACATAAATTTGTTTTCTTTCGCTCTATCTCTATTCTGAAGAAAGCATAGAATACAATGAAATATTTGCGATTTATGCTAAATATTAGTAAACTTTTAAATTATAAGGAATGTTTAGACGGATTAGATAGAGCTACATATATGTGTGTATTCCTTTTAACATTTACAGATGCATTATATAGATATTGTGTTATTATCTGATAAAAGAGATAGGAAGGTATTTCCTGATATTTCATACATATGTATATAAAATTATTGAAAGAGATAGGTAGAGATGATGACTTGTGAGATAAAAAACGAGATTTATAATTTTAATTTTATAGCAGGAGATTTGATAATAGTTGACAAATAAAGTTCTGTAGAGTGATAAGAAGTGGAAGAGGAATATTTATCATACTATTTTCTATATTCTTGAGATAGAAAGAGTGAGCATTCAGATTATATTTGTTGTGAGAATAGAGAGAGAGTTTATGTTGGATATATCAACTTTTAAATCATTTCTAATACATATCAGTCTTATTTTATCATAACTTTTATTATATTTGTTTTTCTCAATAGTTCTACATTGTATGCTTCGCCATTTTCTATTTCTCGATTGCATTGTATTATAGAATCTGAGTTCTATAACAGCTTTATGCCAAAAACTCCGACGCATTGGCCGCTGCCGCCGCTGTTGCTGCATTGCATTCCATATGAGCAGGTACCTGTCTTGCCCTGCCTCAGTCTCTGGCTCTTTATCAGCACATGTGTGTGTGAGAGCGTCTGTGTGTGCATGAGTATCTGCATGTGTGTGATCGTTTCGTGTTGGTGCTTGTCGCTACCTGCGTCTGCGTCGACGCACAGCAATCCCGGTTTCCAAGAAAATATTAACGATATCTCCCAAAACGTTGCCGCACACAAACGCAAACGTCTGAGGCAAATCCAAGCCCCGGAGGCAGCTCGCGTTGCAGGCAGCAGCAGAGCTGCAGAGCAGCCAAAAAGAAACCCGCTGGGATGCACAAAAGCCGAGCCACAATAGCGGGCCACGCATTGTTATTGATACTAGGAAAGCAATGCACGCACGCACACAGAGAGAAAGACTCACACACACGCGCATTGCAGTCCCTTAAAAAAGGAAAGCCAAACGCCGCCGTCTTTAAAAAAGGGATCTCTAGCATTGGGAATTGGGAAAATCTGCGCCGCTACCTGCAAGGGAAAACACACACACACACACACACATAGAGCATAACAGACACCCGCATAGCAGCGCACCCTCGAGATCATTTGGAAGTGAGAGAGAGCGAGCAAACGGTAAAAAGAAAATAGGCCTACGCTGATTTCTCATGCCCATTGTCTAGAGAGGCTAGAAGGGACGCGTACAGTCACTCGCAGCTATTATCCTGCACGAGAGAGAGAGGGAGCGAGAGGGCTGTAGAAGGAGAGGAATAGGAGTAGGCAGAGAGGGAGAGAGAGCGCGGGCAGTGTGTAAGAACAAGGCGTGCTTTCTTTGAGTTATGCCAGCTACAACTACACACTCACTCTTGCCCTCTCCCTCTCTCTCTCTCTCACTCTCTTTCCTTGCATGGCTGCCTACCTGCCAAACCGGTTGGCGAAAAAAAGGGCCAGGGCCAATCTGTGGAAGTGCCAGCGGCTGGGGACGTGTCGAGGCGCAAAATAATCTGTTCGTTGGAACTCGCTCTCCGTAAGAAAAATATATGTGAAGAAGATAATAATCGATTGGTTTTTGGCTGCCTCTTTGTGCGTTTCGCACACTGTGATCATCATTAGCTGCAGCACAGGTAGGCAGCAAGCAGCAACAGCAGCATCAACATCATCATCACCATCATCATCACCATCATCATCTGCGGAAAAGGTGCAACACGCAATAGACTTTGCTGGGCGAGCTGTGCCCACAGAGGGGAGCCCACGCAACAAGTGCAAATCAGGCGACCGCGACCCCAATGCCAACTCTCTTCTGCAGGGCGAGCCCAATAACTGGTAACCACAAAACTCTACACACACACGCATACACATACACATGCAAAGATGTGCATAAATATCTGTACTTGTCACGTATACACATACATACACACTACATTATTATATATGACAAGCCATATTCGTGCTTACGCACAAGCAAATTGCTTTATTGGCTCTAAAGACTGTATTTTCGACTTCTGGGCGTTACATTTTGGACTCTGCACAAAATTTACAGATCATCAATTTCATAAATATTTGGATAATTACTTAGAAATGTTCAGTTTTCTGTGTAAAACTGGAGTATTATGGGAAAATGAGCTTAGAGTATATTAAAAACTTCCTCAATTAACTTTATCAACTAAAAAATATGATTGTTACAGGAAACTTAACAAACCCGTTCCAAATTTCTTTAGTTACCCCAAGTTATAATTACACAATTCGAATTTAGCTCTTTAATCTATTCAAAATTGACTCATATATAATTCTATATAATCTATTCAATTGATTAATTGAATATAGCTGATCTAGTTGCAGATACAAGCATGTAAACAAATGAGTCCAGCAAGCAAACAAAAGATGCCGCTAGACCATCTAATTGATGTAATCGAAATCTGGTTTCAATTTGTATTTGGTTAACCCGCATGCGCCGCATGGAACATAGAACACAGTACACAGCCTCGCCAAGGGTTAAGCAACTGTGATAACAAATTGTGGGAAGGAAGGGAAAAGAGAGAACGAAATTCAGATAGGGGAGCATAATACACAATTAGTGTAACGGATCGTATTAAGATTTCATGTAATGACAGCTAAAAACATACATACATACATTTATGTATGTGTATGTACATACATACAATACAGGCTTTAGGTTCTCAACAAAAAGCAAAAGGAATTGCGGCTCTCGCGACATGATCAATAAAGCACTAATTTGACTTATTCTCTCTTAATTACGCAATAGTCTAAAAGAGAATATGCCAAACAAAACAAATGCTTAAAAGAGAGCAGATATTAAAATCTCTCTTTATTGCTTAGCTTCCTTTACATCGCTTTGCATGTTTGTATGTTCACGTGAGAGTAAATCTAACGGAAATAAGCGCAGCATTCATTGCGTCGCTGTGCTGCCTTGTCTAACATTTGATTTTGCTTTTATTTTTGCAATGTTTACATAGTACAGAAACCGCAGTATTGGCAAATGTTTATTAAAATTATGCACATCCCCTATTTATTTAAACGCAACTTACCATTTAATTTGTGGATCTTTAAGGTATTTATTTATTTTTCACTTAAACACACTTCCTCACACTTCTTTCTTAAATCAAACTGATTTCGTCTTTGCCATGCGGCGAATTTAACCCAGCCGGAATGGCAAGGTGAACATTGAAATGATAAATCAGTATTTAATCCGTTTATTTCTTATATAAACTGTAACCACAGTTAGAACGTTGACTAGTCGAGAGCAAAAATATGGTTGGAGTTAAAACTAGGCAAAAACGAAGTGACAAAAAGAAAAAATACTTCGTGAAATCGACAACTTAAGGGTATATTAACTACGCCAAGTAGTTATGTGGAAAAATCATATTTGAAAAGCAATTAGAATGAAAAAATACAGTAACTTGAAACTACATTCTCAGCATTCGGTTCAAGTGCCAAGTTCCGCAGCTCAATATCATTTCCGATGAAAAAAGGCGGTACTCCAAGGACTCTAAAGATTAAAATTGTTAAGGAATGAGGCATGTTATTGGAAAAACTCCCGCTGGGAAATGTAATCAGCTCTTCAGATCTACAAAACTCAGTAGTAGTGCAATTTTAATAAGAATGCATAAGAGGTTTCCAAATAAATGAAGAGGTTCCACTAATAAGAAAGGCCGAGCAGAGGCAGAATAAGAGCCTAGGAATGAATGGGAATAGAAATAATTTTTTTCCTTCACAATAAAAACTCTTTGTCGTTTTCCACATATATGTAAAATGTTCCTTTATTGTTTATGTAATTTTAAATGCTATATGTGTATATATATATTTATATTATGTATGGTAAGTAGATTTATGTCAGTTTCTTGTCAATCATTTTTTTTTTTTGAAAAATTTCGTTTACATATGGCATACTATGCACTAAAAATTAATATTGATTTTAGCTTTTCGTTTTTTTCTGCTTCGTTTTTAATCTTAAAATTCGTTTACGCTATGACTTTAAAATACTCGTATGTACGTAGTTAATAACTAGTCGCTAATCATGTTTAAAAACTCAAATACCCAACTAGAGTTCATTATGCTACGGAAGGGTATATATCTCAACTCAAGCTAGTTGGCTCACAATAATATAATATATATGAGTTATATGTGGGCATATGGCATGGGGACGCATAAATATGTTGTTTAGTGTAGTGTTATGTAGTGTAGTGTATAATGAGGCTATATAGTATATTTACATGCATGAGCACCGATCTAGGGATATATGTATGTATGTATGTAGGGTGCACGCAAGGAAGTTTTTTATGTGTCTCTCTATATGCTAAAGCATTCTTTTGATTTCTTACTTTTTCTTTAGGTTTGATACATGCGTGATCTATGTGCTATATACTAGACTTATCAATTTTAATATTATGATTATTTTATTTGATTTCTTTATTTCTTTTTAAACAATTCATTTCGTTGAATTTAGTCCAAATTGTTTTATTAATCAATGCAGCCGTTGCCCATTTTTATGGTTTTCTATTATTTTTTTTGGTTACTTAAAAAACCCAAACACGATTCGAAAATTTTTGAGAAGTGTTCGACCTCCTCTACGTTTCACTGGGTCTCATAGATTTTAATTTTGTGTGCTTTTTTCTGGGATGATGATATATTTTGCATTTCTAATGTCGTACGTGCCTAAGTTCTAAATTATGCTATATTTTTCTGGTTTTTTTTGTGGGCGTGTGCGGTTTTTCGTTGCTTGAAAAAAAGTGAAAAACAAAAACATAAAAAAAATTAATATTATTTAAATACTTTAATGGGATTATATATATCACAGGTACATTTTAGACTTTTTTCAAATGCAAGCTTGTAAAAATGTATGTACGTTATGGGGAGTGAGCGAGAGAGAAATAGGTATTCTCTAACAACCCACAAAATTGGCGAAGAGTGCGCGAATAGGCAAAGGATCGGACAGAAGTATTGTATGTATGTATGTGTGTGTGTTGGAGAGAGTGTATGTGTGGGGATTCGTTAAAGAGAGTGCGTATGCACGATCGTATTTAAGAGAGACTGTCTAGTAGGTATGAAGGTATCAGAGGCAGAAGGATAAGGGGATCAGAGAGTACTCTTCGATGGCACCGAAGTATTGGCTTTACCTATTTTCTGCATTTATATAAGCTATAAGTAGAAGTTTTTTTTTGTGTTAATTAGAGTTAAAGTTTTACTAAGCGCTAGTTCAAGTCGTTATTTATGAATTATTACTGTTTTTTTTTTTTTTAGTTTTCCGTTTTATAGAAAAGCACTAACCATTAAACATTGCAACTGCCATTGTTCACATTATTTTCGATCGAAACTTCCTCATCTCTCTATGTCTATATATCGTATAGTAGGTATGTAAATGCAAATTCAGGGAACATAGTCGATAAATGCTCGATTGTGATCGTAGATATGAAAGAGTTTTTGTTTTGTTTTTGTTTTTTCTTGTTGTGAGTAAAACTTTTTTTTTATATCAAGCCTATATGACTAGGGGGCCAGCCAACTCCAACTGTAAACATTAATATTTAATATCTAACTAATGTCTGGATTTATCAAAAAGTTTTGTTTTTTATGCTATGGCCTGACTTTTTTCTAACTCTTGCAATCTTTTTTGAGTACGTATTTGATGATTTTAGCAATTTTTTATGTTATTGTTTTTCGAAGCATTTTTACAGCATTTCAGTTTCTTAAGTACATTTCCATTCTTCTTCTTGGGTTTTCTCTTTCGCTTTTTGTTTTGACTTCTATTTGCCTGTTGTTTGTTTATATAACTAAGTTTAAGATCAGAATTCGAGCTGTGCACCATAATTGTTGTTTTTGTTTTTGAGTTGTTCTGCATTCGTTTTGTGAGTGTGTACGTATTCGGTTTTCGTAGGATCTTTCCTTATTCTTGTTTTTATATATTGTATGTATATATAGCACAGTTCTAGTTATATCAAATGCTATGTAGTATTGTGTGCTAGGTTCGATATGAATGAAAAATGATGGACTAGATGCTATCTTTTGTTTTCTTAATACGTTTGCAAGATCCAATTGGGATTCCGATTCCAATTCCCATTCCAATGTGCTGATTGGCTTAAGTATTTTTAGCAGTCATGAGGCGCTGCGGCGGTCCCACGGGATCGCCGGCCTCGGCGTACAGGCAGGAGCCCTCGCTGCAGGAGCAGGTGTCGCCCTCCCGGGAGCTGTTGCAGCAGTCGCTCGTATAGTTGCGCTGATGCAGCTCATAGCCGGACGACAACATATTTTCATTCTCACTCTCCGCGCAGGAATTCTGCTGTTGCAGCTGCTGTTGCTGCTGCTGCTGGGCGTGCTGTGCCGCTTGACGACGCTGAGCGGAGCGCTTGCTGCCGCTGTGCTCAGTGCTGCTGTCGGAATGGTGAGGGTGTTGGTGCCGCTTGTTGTGGCCGTGCGAGGCGCGCGAGTTGTCCGAACACTCGGAGGAGCATTGATAGATCTGATGACTGGAGGAAGCCGCTGGCATCTGACTGCCATGTGGCGCATGCACCGGCTGATACCAGCCCTCCACTGGCTGCTGCAGCGGCAACGGCGGCGGCGGCTGCATGGGCGAGGCCAGGGCATCACAGCTGTTGCAAGCTCGGCTGTTGCTGCCACAACGCGACGCCTGATATTCGCTCACGGCGTGCCGCTGCGTGGGATAGTGGATATGTATGTTGCGGGAGGCCATGTCGCCGCCGCCCCCGCCGCCGGTAGTCGCAAAATAGGGCGGCAATGGCGGCGGATGCTGGCTGGTGGGCGTGATCTGGTAGCGATTCTGTGTGCCGCCCACACTGCTCAGCGGATTGCTATATAGATTCTCCTGTGGACAGCCAGCGGCGCACTGCGGCGAAACACCCCAAGCGGAAAAGCCACCCGACGAGCTGCTGTGTATGGAGGCATTTAAAATGCTGAGAAGGTGAATATACATATATATATATATAATGGAGATCTGATTGGAGAGATCTGATCTTTAGTTAGACAAAACTCACCTTTGATTGGTTGAAATGCCAGAGCCGGCGCTCTTGGAACTCTTACGCGAAGACTCGGGCGAGCCCTGCGCATAGCCATAATTGGAGGACAATGGTGGCGGATGCTCCGGTGGTGGTGGCAAAAACTCTGACCAATTAATCGTTTCCGTTGGATATTGCAAGTAGTTTGATTTGTTGCTAGCAGCCGCGGCAGCAGCCGCCGCCGCCGCCGTTGCGCCCTGCGCGGCAAATGCATCCGAGTAGGGCGAATGTGTGCCCGAATCCTTGTCAGCACTCAACGAGGTGGCCTTGGTGCAGGTTTCACTGGACGAGGTGCCAATGATCATGGTCGTGGCATAGGGTGTGGGATTATCGGGACTCTAAGAGGGGGATAGAGAGGGAGAGAGATGATTAGTTCAAGCCTTTGATAATGGTAACCATTCGAACGCACCTTGCGACAGTTGTAGAAGGTGGTCAGATTGCGTGTGTCCACCTCGGCATAGTCGGTGCCGCCATCGGAGTTATTGTAGTTGGACTGGCTGCTGTTGACATGCGAGAGCAGCTTGGATTCACTCAGACCCGAGTCCTTGTCCGTGTCCGTGGTGCGCCAGCCGCGATCTATCCAGAGGCTCTCCTTGCTATTGATGTTCAAAGCAGTTATCTCATTGGCGCTGACCACTGTGAGGGGGCACAAGCAGAAATAGAATCAGTAAACTGCCAGAACTAGATAAGTAGCGCCACCTACCGCTCAGGTGTCCCAGCTCTTTGGTCATTTGATGGCGCCGCCTAAAGTAAATCATGACCGTTGCCGTCGAGGCTACCACAATTAATAAGACAACGACAACCAGCACCATAAGCCAAGTGCCATGAGGTATGACAGTCGTCTTGCGATGTGTCGTCGGATTGGCATGGTTCGGCTCTGTGTTCACCATGCCATTCGTGTGGTATGTGAAATCGTTGCCGGACTCATGGCGGCCATCGTGTGTGCCGCTGGGATGGGCACGCGGCGGATGCACATGATACGTGGGATCCATATACAAGGATTTCTAAAAGGAACGAGGACACAATATAGTAGAAATAGTATTAAAGGCATATATATGTATGTACTTACTGGCTTGGAGTAGGGCCCGTCTCCTGCTTTGGTGAACGCATTCAGACGCACGCTATAAACAGCTGTTGTGGTTAGATTATTAAGCAGCACAGATGTGGTTGTTGCATTCAGCGTCATGTTGGCCAGCACTTTCATTGTGTTGCCGGCGCTGACTTCGATTTTATAGCCATACAAATTGCCATTGTGATGTTGAGCTGGCGGCGGCGTCCAGCGCACCCAGCCAGCAGTTAAATTATACATGCCAATTTGTATATTATCCGGCGGAGCAGAGGGCACTGCAAGAACATTTCAGTTTAAGTAAATACATATTAAATTTATGGCTATATATGCTGCTTTACCATCCTCATAGGTTGTGACTAATTTCGAATTGCTCGGCTGTCCCTCGATGCTCTCATAGAAGGGCGTCACAAAGAATTCGTATTTCGTATATTTGCGCAAATTGGCAATCACATGAGATTCCGAGGCAGCATCCAACACTGTGACCATGGCATACTGATTCGAATGGGAGCTGGCATCGCGATAGCGTATGTGCAGGCCCTATTGGAGTAATATATGATAAACATAGTTTAGTTGAAGCCTCACTATGTCCCACAAACGTGAGCTTACCTCCACAAATTTCTCATTTGCGCTCACGTGCAGCATCCAATCCAAGCGCACGGCGCTCGCATTTACAGCCGATGCATCGATGAGCTCCACAACCTGCACAGATTTATATATATATATTATAAGTACCTCTCTACACAGTATTCAAATGTGCACTCACCTTGCCGGTAAGCAGCGTTCGCGCTGCGGACAGCTCATTGGAGGGCGCCACGTCAAAGTCCTCGCCCAAGGTCTTAATGGCATTCGAGAGGCCTGAGGGCACAGACACGCCCTGCGTATTCTCAGCGCGCACCAAAAACACATACGATGTGGCCGAGGTCAGGTCGGAGATCTGTTGAGCAAATGAGCATGAGTAAGGTATGAATGTATTTGAGAGAGCGATGCTACGACTTACCGTCACTTGGGTGTCCGCAATGCGATGGGCGGCTACAATCCAGCCCGTTTGCAGATCGGGACTAAAGTATTCCACAGAATAGCTAGAAACATAGATATAAAATATATATGAAATATATTTAGATATTCCTCAAATATTCATGCTTTCTCTTCAATTTTCTTAAATTTATAAACAAATACATTATTTACATATATTTTTAAATATTTCTAATTATTTAACCAACTCAACTAAACTATAGCTTACCCTATGATAGGACCAACAGCGCCTGGTTTCTCTTGGCTCTTGGCCCATCTCAGTGAGATGCTCGTGCGCGTGACATTAATGACTTTGGGCGTGCCTGGTGGGGCGGGATAGGTGCTGGGATCCGCCACACGATGCAGCGTGGCTGAGCTGCTCTTCTCCACCTAATAAATATGAAAATAATTAGATTTAATAAGCAAATGGGCATTAAACAATAGACTTACTCTCAGAGTAGCAGACCAGCTGGATTCACCACGCTCCGAGGAGGCGGTGCATGTATATAAACCAGAATCGCTTAGCTGCAGATCTGTTGAAGTGAAAAGAGCAAGTTGAGGCATATATTTTAGATAACTCTCTATGTATATTAAGCATACCATCTATTCGTAGGGAGCTGCCCTGAACGATGCTGTGACGATTGCTCGTCTGCACCGCATAGCCATCGTGGAACCATTTGACACGTGGCGTCGGATTGCCCGTGGCACGACAAGGCATGGTGGCGACAGAGCCCTTGGATAGCGTTTGATTGGCGGGTCCTATTTGTATGATGGGCGGCGGACGTTCATCGACCGTGCTGACTTGCAGATAGACGCGCACCGTGGCTGAGTCAACGACACTGAAAGCAGAGCACATATAGAAGCCCTCGTCATCCTGCTGCACATCGTTGATCTGCAGCGTGCCATCGGCTGTGATGTGCTGACGGCCATGCGAGCTGTTTGGAAACATGAGCGTAGACACACCCTCCTTGGTCCAGAAGACAGTTGGCGGCGGATTGCCTGTGGCCACACAAGGCAGTTGTACTTGGCCATTGAGGCCGACTTTCTTATTGGTCGGTTTCTTGGAGAAACTTGGCGGAGCTGTGAAGCAGAAATTACAGAATTAGCCAAGGCATAAGATTAAACCATAGATGAAGCGGCGTACCGTGCACGGTGAGCGTGGCTCGAGCGCTGATCTGGCCCACATTGTTGTGCGCCTCACAGACGTAGGTGCCCTCGTCGTTGGGCGTTATGTTGCTCAGCTCGAGACTCTTCTCGTCATGCAGGATGCGTGCCCGAGAGACCGGTATGTTGCCTTCCTCCTTCTTCCACAGCACCTTGGGCGGTGGATCGCCGCCGACAGAGCAATGAAACGTCGCCGTCTGGCCATAGACCATGGTCAAGTCTTTGGGCTCCTTCATGAAGTACGGCTTGATTTGGACAATCAACTTGGCGTAGTTGGATTCCCGTGATCCCAAGAGATTCTGGGCAATGCACTTGTAATTGCCCTCATCGATGGGTTCCACGTTGCTGATCAGCAAATTGCCGCCATCCACGATGCGGACGCGTGAGCTGGTGCTAAAAGGTTTCGAATTCAAGTCATCCAGTGGAACGCCATTCTAAAAACACAAAATGTGAAAACTGGGACACGTATTGCTTAAGATTTGCTTTTGGCTTGCCTTCATCCAGATAATGGTCGGCTCTGGTATGCCTTTGGGCGGCCCACATTCGAGCAGCGCCGTCTCGCCTTTGGCCACGCGCGTATCTTTGGGCTCCACGCGAAAATCGTCGCGCAATACTGCAAGCAAAGAAACAAACAAGGTGTCAAACATGTGGCGAGTGTGGGTTAACAAGTTGGCGGTGGCTGTGGTTGCTTACCAGCGATTTGGAGTGAGGCATGTCGACTGACGGCTTTGCCCACGTGGTTTTTGGCCACACACCAGTACTCGCCGCTGTCCTGCTCCTTCTTGCTCTGCATCGTGCGATAGAAGAATAGAGCGCCGTCTTTAAACAAAACCCGATGCGATTTCTTTTCATTCGTATTGACCGGTTCGCCATCCTATATGGGAATGCACATATATATATTTAGTATGTGGTTGATAGTTTATATATTAGATTAGTTAATCTACCTTATACCACTCAATGGTGGGCTCCGGCTTGCCTTCCACTTTGCAATTGAGCGTGGCGGGTTCATTCTTCTTGACGACCAAATCTGTGGGATGCTCAATAATGCGTGGCGACTGATATTGAGCTGGGAAGAGATCATGTATACACATGTATGTATATAAATATTTGTACACTTCGAGATAATTGCATATGCATGTGGTTTAAATGGCTTTACCTTTGGCTGCGGGCAGCGCTAGGGCCAGCAACAGCAGCAGCAGCAGCAGTTGATGCAGTGGTTGCTGCCTGGGCATATTGTTTATGTTTGATGCTGAATGATAGTAGTTAGTGCTCCAGATGTAACGATGTCGATGTGATGTTGATATATACATATGCATATGTATATTACATATATATAGATATTGCGCAGTTGTGAGTGGTGGCAATCATTGTTTTTTATCTTTCTTCTATGTATATATTATTTATCTTTGCTAATGGCATGAAAAATGGCAAAGAATGTGACAGCTGTTAGTTAAGGGGGAAGCACAATAGACATACATTTGTGTATATATCTGTAATATACAGTATGTTATAAGAGTATTCTTACTTGTAATCAAAAATAATTGTATTTTTAATATAAAAACTGTCATACATAGTATATGCTTGTATGTAAATTTAATTTTGCATTATTAGTTTGTATAAACAAACAAACATACATATGTATGTATATACTTTTAATACTTAATAGTAATTTAAGTATTTAATTTTCATTTAATAAGTTTTTTAGTATTCATTTTTTTTTTTAAATCTGTTCGCACACTTTTACAACATACTGTATGCATCAATGTGCCGTATACTTGTGGGCGTGAGAGGCGTGTCGGCATTTGCATACAAAGTAAAGTATTTGACAATTACAAACCTCAATTCCAATTTCACTCGTTCTATCTGCGTCCACTTCAGTTTTGATTCTGCTTTTTATCTTCGAATTTGTGTGTTGAATATTATTATTCTTCGATGCCTGCTCCAGTTAGATTTCCATGCAGGCAGCTCGAGGCGCCCAAAATCGAAGGCGACGTCGACGTCGGCGACAATGACGACATATGCATATATAGATAAGCAATGCAGAGCACTCAACGCGCAACACCAATAAAATTATATATACTTATTTGTGTCTATGCTTTCCCATTAATTTGGTTGAGTTCTTTTTTTTTTTATTTCTGTATTTATCTCTCTTTATGTTTATCTCGCCAGCGCCTACGGCGACGGCGTGGCCCAAAAAGTAGAAGAAAAAGACAGAATTTACAATCCAAATGCAGCGAGGCGAAGTTTTGATTTTGATTGCTTTTTCGATTTTATTAAGAGTTTCTCACACTTTCTTTTCACTCACTTCGTATCGTATCGTATTTATTTTCGTTGTTATTTTTATTATTAATCACAAAACAAAAAACTTTAAATCGTAACTAAAACGATTTAGCGTTGCGTCTTCTCTCTCTCCCTCTCACTGTCTCTGTCCTTTTTAGCTTGTTGTTTTTGTCTTTTTAGTCGTTTGCGTTTTTGGGGTTGTTTCTCTTTCTCAGCCTCATTTCCGCATTTTCCGAATGAAATTTCTTTTTGGTAATTTTACAAGAACAAGAACATGCTCCTGCTGTTTCAGCCGTTCATCAGTTCGCCGTTCCCGTTGCTATTGCCGTTCCAACTGCCAGGCCAGCCTGCTGCCTTCTGGCTTGTTGTTGTATCTATAACAGTGCGTAGCGTACGTATAAATATATACACATACACATTCATGCACTCTCTTACATGAGCACGCACACACACACACACATGCACGCGTACACTTTGGTTTCGGTAGATACACAGATGTAAGAAAACACATCCGATTTTTACACCCGAAATGCGGGTTTGATTTTGATGTTTATTCACTTGTCCATTGCATTTAATTTGTGCGCTGAATTAAACAGCAGCTGCAATTAACTTTTATTAATTATTCTCTCACTATTCTTTGTTTAATTCAATTTTTGTGTAAGCAGCTACTGGACGTGGGTTGTGTCTGTGGAAAACTGCGGAACAATGTGAATGTGAAACGAAAGAAAACAAAAAATACCACAAAGCACCATGCTTGAGATCTGGCAGCACTGCTTGCGCTGCCATAATGTTGGGTGTGGCGCCAAACTCAAAATATTGTAAAATAAAACCATTTTATAATAATTCATTTGTTTTTCTTTTGAAGATATTAATGTAGTCAATGTTATTTTCATAAAACGTGTAGATTTTGATGTCGCACTGCTTAACTTGCAGATCCACATAGTCAGATGATTTTCTTATTGGGTCTTGTCTTTAACAGTCTGGCAGTATTGCTGGCGACACCCGGCTCCAAAATATAAAAGTGCGTCAAGACTTAAAATTTTTTAATGAATTTTATAAATCAGCTTAGGAGGACTTCAATATATTCGGATCTGATGTAACAGAAGCTTGCACGTTTCTTTTGGAGAGTTTGCGAGATCGTTTCCCAGAAGATGCGCCACTACATAAAAGCTCATCCATGTCATCGACGTTATTAAATTTGACGCATTCGTGACAAACAATACGTCCACGATAGGTAAAGTTATTAATGTTCGGCTCTGATTGGATTATTGGACTGTATAGTGGATCATCCGTTTTCTGCGTTATGTCGGCTGTGTCGTTGCCAATGCATTCGGGGCAAATGTTGTGCTTAACGCTGCCAATGTGGCACGGGCTGAGATCGAGACACCGCTTGAGCGGCATGCTCAGGTAATCGGACGCGGTGCGCGGTGGCTTCTTCTTTCCGTTCTTTAAGTTGCAGGTCAACTTCACCCAGGTCATGTCGTCCTTCTGCTGGCGCGCTATTATCGCCTTTCGTATCTCAGCTATCCGTCTGCCGGAAGACATCAGCTCCGTATAGAGCTTCCGGCAGCTGTTGGCCAAATTCGCTTGGGTATAGATGATGGCATTGGTACCAGTCAGCTCACCAAACGCCTGCGGTGGGCAGCGGCATAGTGAGATGTACTTGATAATGTTGCGATTACGTTGCATTATTTCGAATTGTACTTAAGCTGGAATTTGGACCACAACCAAAACTGAATTTTCCATGCGATATTTTGAGTCTTATAGCTAAAAAATTTTTGTTTTATTTTTTTTGTATTTTCCTTATTTTTTGTTTGTAGTTGTCATGCCTATGCCTCCTAAGCTCCTAGCTTGGCCAACTGAGGTTTGCCCCTCACTAGATTACGTGATCGTATCAGATTCGACATGCTTGCCTCGCAGCTCGGCACATGCGCTCCAATTGGACGTGGAGCTGGACGTCGCCCACCCGCCACAGCGCTCTTCACCTGCTTCGGCTGCAAGCGCAGCTGGGTGACCCGATCCACGGACATGCTCTTGGGTCGACGCGACAGATAATCATGGATGTGGCTATTGGAGCCGTTGGCTATGTTCAGATCAATCAGATATTCCTGCAGCTCGGCCTTCAATTTAGCATTTTCTGCCTCCAAGTTGCGTTTCTGCTGCTTGAGGCAGGCCACATCGACGGAGACATTGTTGACGCGTCGCCAAAAGGTTTCCATTTGTGGTAAGGCGGCAACTTCCTCCTGCAAAAGAAATCCCGTTGTACTCGGATTAGCTCTTTATGGTCTGCTTACCTTGAGCGGATCATTGGCTAGGTCAGCGTCGTCCTCCCCAGGTGTTTGCTGCTCGCGTATCTCTATAATCTCTTTGGAGAGCTGAGGCAGCTGAAACAGTTTCTCTCGCTGCGTTTCCATTTTGGAGCAAATGCGCGATAGCTGGGACAAAGTTTCTACTTTGCTCAGATGTGCCTTGAGTGTCTGGGGGAGATTATATGTAGAGATGGATGTGAGTAACTAAATTATGTATATCTCTTTCGTTTGATCATCTCTGACTCTCTCTCTCTCTCTCTCTCTCTCTCTCTCTCTCTCACTTTCACTCACCTGTATAGCTTCATAGCTCTCCACGGTCATTTGCTTGAATAACCTGTGCTGCTCCTCCGCCTCCTTTTCGACGTAGCTGCGCAGCTCTCTCAGCCGATCGGTGAGCTCCTCTTTGATGTTTTGCCTCTGGTGCAGCTGTGCCTGCTGCTTGATTTGCTGCTCCTCGGCGAGCAGTCGGAGATTGCAGAGCTGCTCGGTTAGGTACTCGATCTCGTAGTTTTGCTGACTGATCTGCTGGGCGCTCTCCTCGTCGCGCTGCTTCAGATCCACATACTCCGAGTAGAAGCCCTCGATGTGCTTGCCGTAGTCGGCTAGCACCGATTGATACTCCTGCCACAAGGCCTCAAGCTTGCCCTCGCCGCGGCCCGTAATCTTCTCCAGCTTCAATTGCATCTGTGATTTGATGGGAATTATGTAATATTCTCTGTGTGCTGTTGACCCATTGTGTGCCAGTCAAACACGACGTCCATTAGTCCGTCAGCTGTCAACAGTCGCTGGCTATAAATGTCGACAGCAGCTCAGAGCTGCTCGGCAAACAGTACTTGAGATGCGCCTGCTGCTGTTGCTTTTACTCAGCTTTAGCTGCAGCATCAACTGCCTCAAGTGTCGCTCGCAGGATGGTGCTGGCGATGCGGAGCTCAAGCGGATTGTGCGCACTTGCATGCAACGCAGTGGCGGTGGCAGCAATGGCAACCAGGAGGACAACGACAATAGACGCTATGGCAATGGCAATGGCAGATATAATTTTGATAGCGATGATTATGGACAGGTTCAGGATCGAGGACAGGGCCAAGGCAGACAGCAGCAACAGCAACAGCAGTCCTATGGTAATTCCTGGCAACGCAGCGTTAAGCAAACTGACAACAACAGTAACAACAACAACAGTAACACATCTGAAACGGGCGGCTGCGTGGCGTTGTGTTTCTTTGAGGAAATGAACATGGTAAGTCAGCTGCAATACTATTTAAGTACATAATTATACATGTACATACACATATACATACATATGTACATACAATGAATTCGTCTTCCTTTAATGTTCTCATTCGCCAACGCTCTCAAAAAGCTGAGGTATGTCTCTTTCTCTTTCTTTAAAGCTTTCATTTTGTTTACCTTACTCTCACCGCGCTTTTGAATATACAAGCTGAATGCCTTAAACGCTGTGCGCTTAAACCGTACATGAGCGGTTGTTCAGGCTTCCATTTTGTGTTCTTACTCTCGCCAACCTCTCGAATACTTATACAAGCCGAACGTCTTAAGCCTAGTGCGCTTAAAAAGGCAGGGTGCTCACTCTCGCTTTAAGTAGTTACTCAAGCTGCCATCTTGTTTTCCCACTCTCACCGCGCTCTCAAACATACGTATGTATTGCCTTAGTGTATATATAAAAAGAGTATTAAAGTGCGCTCTCAAATTGTTGTGCACATGTATGCAAACAGCAATGCAATACATACTCGCTCTCATTCTTTTCCTTTTAAAGGAGAAGGCAGGCAAAACTGTTAAACGGTTGGCGGTGTTAAAAGCTTTGGCGAGCTCAATAAATTTCTTAGTTTATGGAGATGAGCTTTCGCATATGTGTGTATGTGTATATATATTTTTATATGCGTATGTACATGCATGTGTATACATATTGTAGTTTACACTCTGTCTAACGATTTCTCTCTTCAGGTGGATGGCAGTGGTCAGCCTGATCGGCGCAAGGTAAGCTACTTGCTGACAAAGGATCTGCGCGATCGCGAGCTGCGCAACTTCTACATGGACACCGTGCAGCAATGCTTTCGCTACATAGAACACTCTCGCTACAGCAACAACAACAGCAACAACAAGTGCAGCCAGGCAAGGGAGCTAGTGAAATGCATGTCAGAGTATGCCAAAGCGCAATGCGATGATTGGGAGGAGCATGGAAATATGTTATTCAACTAAACTTCTGACCCGCTACTTACACCGCTCTTCAGATCCTCCACACGATCCAGATAGGCTTCGTGATTGTCTTTGATGGCACGATCGGAGGTCTCCTCTAGCTGATAGAAAACGCACTCGAGTTGCTGTTGCTTTTCCGCCTGCAAGTCCTTATAGATAGCCGCATCCTGTTTATATTCACGCAGCACCGCCTGCTTGTCGTCCTCGTAGATGCGCCAGAAGAACTCTATGCGACTGCGATGTATGCCTGGTACAAGGGAAGCACTTTTATTAAATACTATGTAGATAGACAATATGAATATTAAAGATATTGCTCACCAATAATATGATCAATGTTCTCCATATGCGACTGCTGCAAGTTGGCGTACATATCCTCCGTGGAATTGATATCGCCGATTAGACGCTGTATGACCTGATCCTTGCGTTTCAGCGCCTGCTCGAAAAACTGCGCCACATCGAGAATTTCCCGTCGCAGATCCTGAATTTTCACCTGGCGCAATATGGAACGCCATTCCTGATTGATTTTGGCCATGTTCAGGCGACAAAATGCATCCTCGCGCTTCAGCTTGTTCTGCACGGAAATACAAATACGGTTATGGACTCATCAATACCTAGGGTATCTATGATTCGTTACCTTCATGTACATCGCTATTAGCTGCATTTTGCGGCGCCTCGTCTCCTCCTCCATGTCGGCACGCATTTGTAAATACCTGGCCCGCTCCTCCTCGGACATTTTGGCCAGCTTATTGCCTTTGCCTTTACCCTTTTTGCCCATCTTCAAGTGTTTCTATTAATTGCTATTTGGCAAAAGCCGCTTATCAAATTTCAAAGGCCAGTTAGTTCAACTAATTGAGCGCACCAGACTAGAGGTTAGACTGAACAGAAAAAAATATGGAAAAAATAAATGAATGAAAAACAAAGAATGAGCAAAAAAAGAAAAAAACAAGCCGCTGCCATGACAACCCCCGCTTGTCCCCCACCAGCCCTGGTAGGGTAGTCAAGGGGTTTTTCATTATTATTAATGCTCAGCATTTGAGCGTGCATTAAATTAACGATTCGTACATTTCAAAGCCCATTAAGGCACTGACAACTGATGCGGGGCTGACACTATAAATGGGGCCCGTTCAGCGGGCAGCTCCAGCTTAGTATCTAGCATGTGGCGATTGATATTTGTATTGGCTCTGCTGCTGGTAAGTGCAAATCTTTTATGCATACAATACTACTACTGCCCTGCCACGCCCCCTTAGGTGTATACTGCACTGGGCATACGCGTGAATTGCCGTCACATGGAGCGCATTCACGAGGATCACATCCACTACTGCTGCAAGCACCCGGACGGCCACAACGACGTCAGCGAGCTCTGCGCCCAGAAGACCAACTTTAAGCTGCCCTCGAAGACGGAGGAGGCCATGGAGGATAACACTGTGGATGCCGTCATGACCGGCAGCTGCTGGGCCAAATGTGTGTTCGATCATTATAAATTCTTGGTCAACGACACCCTGGACATGCTGGCGGTGCGGAGTCACTATAAGAGCGTGCACAGATTGGATCCGGAGTACGAGACTGAAATGTTGGCGGCTTTCGACGAATGCCATTCGAAAGGTAAATGGTAGAGAGACCAGTTGGATATACATATAATGCTGTCTATGTATTGCTAGCTGTGGAGGCAACGTCTATCTTCCTCTCGATGCCCATTGTACGCGCCTTCAGCAGTGCCAATATGTGTAAGCCCCTGTCGAGCGTCATCTTATCCTGTGTGATTCAGACGTTCTTCCACAACTGTCCGAGAAGTCGTTGGTCCAACACCACCGAATGCCTCGAGACTCTGGCGTTCTCCAAGAGATGCAAGGATGCGCTAACCACAATGTGAATGGAGGAAATGGAAAAACTAGCATATCATTAAATTCTATATATCTGCATATTATATAAACAGATCAGCATATAAAACATATGCATAATGCTTTAACTATAATTTTAGCTGGATAAGCAGCCAAGGGGTAAGAGAGGTAAAATCAAGCTGTAGAATAGAAGTATGCGAGAGCTAAAGAAGAAAGGGCCTGGGATCAGTAAGAATTATAAGAATTTTTGTAGCAGGAAAAATTTTATATTTGTTGCTTAAAGCTGCTTAAAGTCTACTGTTGGAAGAGCTTGAAACTAAGATATAATGACTTTTTGTGGAAGGTTAAGTTCAGAAAGGATTACGAATATTTGAATTTATTGAAAATTAACTTTAGAATAGGATAAGAAGATACATTAATACAGCTTCGAGAGAGATGCTCTTTAGGTAGGATTTTTATTACCACATATATGTGTTTTGAAAGATCATATAGATATCATATTAAACAATTTTTCAGTTAAATACTATTTAATTAGTGTTTTATATGAAATCATTTATTTAATAACTCGTTCATTTGCCAATTCGAAATTCCATTTACAAAGTAGCCAAAGAATCGCGACAATTTTGACTGTAAGCCAATAGATTTTCGCACTCCTTTGTTTTGGCCCAACGATCCTTGGGACAGTTGTGAAAGAACTGACGTATGACACAGGCCATGATGACGCTGGACTTGGGTGCACAGTAATGCTGGGACATGTGGACAAAGACATGATTCGACATGAACTTGGCAACATTCTCCTCGGCTAAAAGAGAAACAAATAATCATATATAGAAATATATCTAGATTTATATTCTCTTTGCTTACATTTGCCATGACAGTGATCGAAGGCGTTGATCATTTCCTTGACATATTCCGGATCGTGGCTGAACTTCTCATTGAGATACTTTTTGACAGCGTCCATGTCCAAATTGTCGTCCTTCATGATGTTCATTTTCTCGAAGACGCACTTGGCAAAACAGGTGCCCGAGATGGCACGCGTGGCCGTCAGATCCACCAGGGATTGCTCCTTGGCGCTTGGCATTTTGAAGCCCGTCTCCTTGGAGCAGCTATCAATGATTTCGCTGTGGCCCTCGGGATGCTTGCAGCAGTAGTGCACATGATCCTCATTCACGGCATCCGTTTTATCGCAATCAATCTCACCTGCGCTGGCGCACTGTAGATGGCGCTTCATTTTATAGAAAATATTGGAAGTTAAATATAAATCCACAACTTACCCAGACTAGATAGAAGAGTGCAAAGGTTCTTAGCAGAAACATTCTGTTGCGTCGCAGCCTGTTTTCATTCCGTTCCGCTGGGGTCTTTATATAGCCAGTTCTCCGGTGATTGCCTTAACTGAGGCTTGAGTGAGTTATTAGATCTCCGAACTAATGGATTTGTTTATGTTGCGAGCCATTACACAACTGGGGCTGTAATTGTTCGTTACATTTAATTAAGCAAAATTATAATTAAATAATGTAATTAATTTTTACAATTAAAAATTCGAAATGTTATAAAGTTGAGTGTAGACCCAGAGTCCATTTCATTTGGCATAATAATGCGTTACCCAATATTCCTCTCACTGCTGCTGCTGCTACCGTTGCTTGGCCTGGTCCGGGCGCAGGAAGTCTCTGAGGAGGAAGTGCCGGAGGCGAGTCCCATCGATAATCTTACGCTGGATCAGTGCAACAAAAAGGTTAGCAGCCACATCTCATACAAGTCCAGATACTGAATAGCTCCTTTTCAATGCTAGCGCAGGGGCTGCTGCTCCGATTTGTACCTGGGCGATGATGAGACGCTCATGAAGTGCTTCACCATACACTCCGATCGATTGCCACCCGATGGTGATACGGATATGGGCAAGACCCTCAAATTTCTATCGGTTCGTATCGAAAATATACAATTTAAATGTAATTTTCTTTTTATTTTGGATATGTATATATTTAGTTTTTATATAGTTATGTAGTAGCACATACCGCCATAGACTTTTTAAGATTATAGATAACAACCTGAACCCATCTAGAATGCTGAGGACTTAGGACTTTCAAAAAAGTATAAATATTCTTGGTCAACATAGGAGTCTATCTACCCATGCTTTTCCGTCTGTTTTCCAGTCCATCGAGCTTTTCGTCTATCTGTTTTTCCATCTGTCCATATATATTCTTTCATATAATTCCATCGGTAATAAGCTATGCGGATATTCCTCTACCTTTCAGTGCTTCGTCGAGTGCCTCTACAAGCAGCGCAAGTATGTGGGCAAGAGCGAAACGATCAACATGAAGATGGTAAAGCTCGATGCGGAGACTCTGTATGCAGGTCGGCCCAAGGAGCAGGCGTATCATATCAGAATGTTTGACTTTTGTCGCAAAGATGGTAAGACGAAATGTCCTTCCATGCTTACCAGCCATATAACATTTCAATAAATAACCTTCTGTCCAGCTATGAATCTGTACAATTTGCTGAAGGCCAGTCCGGGCGCCAAGGCCATGCTGAAGAATGCCTGTCGGCCCTTCCTCCTGATGGTGTACCTCTGTCAGACGGAATATCACAAGAAGCACGAATGCCCGTATTTTCGGTGGGAGGGCAGAGAGAAGTCGAACACCAAAAAGTCGTGTCACGATGCCAAGGTCAAGTGCTATGAGCTCGACGGAGTTCCGGCGCCTGTCGAGCACTAGGATATGCAGGAGCTGTCTTACACATAAAATCAATCATTCGGTGTACACCAAATAATAAAAAGTAAAACAGAAAAAAAACTCACTTTATTGTTAGATCGACACATATACACACATCCAAATACATACACACAGTTTCCATAAATACATACATATACATCATTACAAATGTACTCAGTGCGTAGTGCCACCAAGGAAAATGCGCAAGAACTCACACTGCTCATCCATGACTCGCATGTCAAGTGGTTTGGCAACAAGCGCACCAAATATGACATCAAGGAGACCTTCAAGGCATATCAGACCCATCGTCTGATCGCCCTGCGGGACAATAGCATCGTGGCCTTCGCGGAGTTTCGCAACTATCCGGCAATCGGTCCCTTGCCCAGCGACAGTTGGTTAGACTGGCTACTCCACAGATATTGGTAAAAGATATGCAACAAAAACAAATATAGTTCTATTCACCAGACTGACAGATAAATATCCGTATATATATATACATACATACATGTGTGTGTATACTATATGCGATTGTCATGGCCTGCTTCATGTAGCATCACAGCCTCTATCAGCTGGCTGAACACCCTGTTCTTTACCTTTTGCATCTACCGCGAGGATGAGCCCGAATCGCTGCTCGCCCTGATCCGCGAGGTGTTCTATCGCGAGAATCGTCTGTTGAACTTGATAGCCGTGCGTATGCCCTATCTGGCCAAGCATACGCACTACATTGAGCACTTCGATGATCTGGCCAAGTATTGTCAGATCTTCTATCCGCGCGAGTTCAGCATCGAGAGCAATGCGAATACCCAATCCGTTTTCATTGTGAATCGCTATGGCATCCTGCCGACCATCACGTATCGCAAGGCACTGTAAATATCCTAATCTTTATTGTATATGTATAAATCTAACTTCTAACCAATCTCAGTGCCGAGGATAACGATGATATTGTGGAAATGCATTCGCGTGAGCTGCCCGAGATGCGAGCGGCTCTGGGAGATTTCTACATAGCCGAGGAGTTAATGCGAACGGATGCGAATGCCAAGGACTCGGTGATAATTGTGATGGAGATGCAAAACGAGAATCAAGAATCGATGACGGCGGGATTCATGTGGCTGAATGCGAACGTCGATATACGCTACTACGTGCGGAACTACGAGATGGAAATGTTTGGCAATCTGCTCAGTTTCAATCCCACTAAGCCGAGTGGATTCGAGGAAATCACGGTCATGTGAGCGATTCATCAGATTTATCATATGCATATATACGTGACAATTGAGCACCTACGCAGGTGGACGGAGCGCACTCCGGATGCCCAGCTATTCACAGCCGCTGCCATGCATGAGCTGTGCGAATCGGCCGTA